GGCTCTATTGCAACCAGTGACCCGCAACCTACGGTTTTTTGGGTCCGCAACCTATGGTTATTTGGGGCCCACCTGTCCAAGAAATTGGACAAGGGTGACGCAGAGCTGGGGGGAAAAAAAAAGAAGAAAAAACACGAGAACCAAGCAAACAAAAGTTCCGTCTGGTGTCGTTTCTGCTGAGTCGGTACCCTGGGGGTGGTTTCAAAAAGGCAACCTGAAACCAGTGCCGTACATTGCTCACTTCTCAAGATTGGCCAAACTCTCTGCTTGCCAAATAGTCCCAAATGGTTTTCAGTCTGGGAACTCAGGCAGTGAGAAAGAAAACCAACCTAGCGTCCAGTTGCCGAAGCCTGGTCCCACTGGTGTTTCCATTCCCTGGTTTGGTAACCAAGGGAACCACCCTTTACAAAAAGTAAAATAGTTGCTTACCTACAAACCACTGGAAAAGAACACCTACTTGCCCCATGGATTTACCATGATCAAAGTCAGCCCCCAAAAAACAAGTGGTAGGTTAAAGGGACAGAACCCACTGCCTGACTAGGTCCTCCAGATTTGAGAGGTTAGAATAAGGGCACCAACTCTTTTCTGCAGTCTATTTTAGTAGGGGGTTGCCCTCCCAACCAAAACAGGGTGAGAAAGGGCACCTAGCTGGGGGACCTATGCTGAGTCAACGAAATGAGCCCAGACCCATCAACTTTCGGCGCGCAGCTCCAGCCCATCTTTGGCCACGTCTGTCCTTGGCTTCTGGCCACATCTTTCCCGAGATTTCCCCTGGTGGTTTTGAATATCCCGTTTTGGGCCAAGTCCAGGTGATGGTCCTATGTTCCTTTGGGTGGAGTCCGATGTCTGGGGGGTACATGCAGCGAATCCAGCTCAACTAGAAAATGGACACACGCCACAGGAAACCCAACAAGAAATGATCCGATCTTCAGGTTTGGACATTGGTTTCACGTTTGGAGCAACTGGAACTGGACAAATGAAGATCGTGCCTCAAAATCCCACCTCCCGCAATCCAGTGTTGCAATTGCCAAACCCTACTTGCCCGGCTAGGGACAAAGAAACTAAGAGAACTACCCGGTTATAGTTCCGCTGATTCTTAAAAACACAACGCCAAGAAACAGATTCTTTGAAGGGTACGTGTAGCGCAAAACATCTATCTCCACAAACTTGATCATTGTCTCGCCACTCGCGCGACCGACTGACCGAGGGGCGTGTACAGATCCTCGTTCCAGCACAGCAAACGTCCCACAGCTTTTCGCAAATCCGCTGCTGGCATCGAGGACCTCGAGTTCGCGGCACACACCCCACCCACCGAGGGGGTGCTCGCTTGAGCTTGGACCCCGAAAAAAAAAGGCGAACCTCTTGGCCCTGTACGAAAAATGCACCAAGAGGGGGACATCAAAACTGACCAGATGAGTTTGACTGGCCAAACAAGTTCTAACTCGGGCGAACATACAAATGATTCGACTTGGGCCAACAAAACGCTTCAAGTTGGCCAGCTCAACAGGCAGAAGGTCAAAAGCTAGGTGTCCATCCTCGCGTGTTGGGGGCACAAGCCTTAGGAATCACAGACAACTATAGCAGAAACACACCCAAAGCCCAGAGAAGCAACAAGCACAAAATACCCAAGCCCACGGACAACGTCTGAAAGATCAACAACTCAAACGTCTTATTGGCGCGCGCTTGGAAGGTCATTTTGGGGGGTTGACTGGGGGCAATTTTCCAACCCTCGGGAAAAACACACAGAAACCACCCAACAACTAACAAAAATAAATCATATACATCCGGGGAAACACGAACAAGCAGCACATACCAAGAACGGTAAACCTTGGCAGACATGGCCTCATGAGCTAATGAGCTGCTTTGCCGTCCGAGTCGCTTGGATGCCAATTCAGGTATCGCATCTGACCTCAAGATGCCGAACTTCCCCTTCTTGGCAGACGGGTGAGTGCCGACAATGTGCATTCTTCTGGGCTGCCCTCAGATCCCCCGCTAAAACTTTAACTTTTAGTGTTCAGTTTCCACTTTAACTTCTGGGCTTTTTAGTGGAAACTACCACTAAACACTAAAAGGCTAAAAGGCTAAGGGGATGGGTGGGAGCCACCAAGGCTTGCTGGGTCCAAAATTCCCTCAAGATGTGGGTGTGGGTCAATCACAGGGTAACCCCCAAAATGGCTTGCCCTAGTACATTAAAAAAACAAAAACTGTTCACCTGCGGTGGATAATCATCCTGGTGTTTCATTTTGACCCCGACCCATGTGCTCGCAGCTTGGCTGGCGAGGCTTCCGGGCACTTTTTGACTGGAGGAAATGGACCGTGCTGCAAGCGAAAAGTGAACAAGTCCAAAGATCCGTTACCAAATAGGCAGAAAGACCAGGGTTGGGCCAACCGACTGGATTGGTGGTTTGGATTCGCTGGCTCTTACTGAAATTTGGAGAATCGTGTCCTTACCCCTAAGCCATCAATCCAAACAACTTATCAGCTTCCCCCCAATTGACCCCATTTGGCTTCCCTTGGCCTTTCTTGGCTCCCATAGCCCCCTTAGTTTCGCATCCTCCCCCCCCCCCCCCGAAAGCTCCCATGAAATCGTCGGAAGTCTCATAGTCTCATAGTCTCAGAGTCTCCCTCCCCCCCCCCAGCCACCCATAGCCCCCACCCCCCAACCCCTTCGCCCCCATAGCCCCCCTCGCCCAAACAGCTCCCACGGAAATCGCCGGACGGAAATCGCTCAAGTCGCAGCTTCCAGAGCTGCTGAGTCTTGCTGGTGCCACTGCACAGCACCAAGCCTGCGATCCGGAGAGAGCTGGGGGCGAGGGGGGGGGGGGGCTGGAAAGCTATATATATATATATACACATTACATATCATGTGTACATTATATATATATATATTATCTATATATATATATATTTTATATATTATACATATGTATGCATAATATAACGCATACACGCATATTATTTCGAGTAACAAGCACCTGCTAGTTTCTTTTTAGGAAATCTCGACGTTGTGGACTTCCAGATAGAAAACATGGTCAAATACGGTGCACGAGTAAACACCAGCACCCTCCGAGGGCTATCAAGTGGTGAGTGACCTTTACGGATTTATGGGGGAGGGGCAAATGACAATCCAAAGGTGCTGGTATGGACTATTCTCCCCGCAACACCGCTCGTATGAAAGTACAACCAGCATCAAAGAGCGGTGAACCCGGAAAATCACTGGTGGGAAAGCGAACAAAATGGGATCAATCGCACAAAAAAATGAGGCTCAAGCCTAAAAACAACAAAGTCAAACCCTACATCAGGCTCAAAACCAATGCAACGGGTCCAACCCTCTTTGGATGTTTTTTTGCACATTTTGGCCACCACTTTGACCAAAAGATACTGTAGAAAAAGCAACCTTGCCCTCGAACCAACTTAAGAACTGGGGGAACCAACAGCCCCAAAAGTGGTTGGTGGGTACACATCCACACCTACAGGATGACCAAGGGGTCCTCCAATAATGATCAGATCTAATATGGACATGGGAACAAACATAGCGAGCCTCGCCGGTGGGTTGTTTGAGATTTAGTGAGCCCCGCCACGTCTCCCATCCAGCAACATCCCATTCAGGGTAGCTTGAAGGTGGAGACTGGTTACAGCGAGCCAAGATGGCCATGGTTCAAAACCAATGGTACCATTTTGGGATAGGCGCACCACCCATTTGAGTCCATTTTTAGTGGGGATTGGGATGTTCACTGGGGGTACGGGCTTTTGACCCATGGCCAGATCCCTTTTGTGGCTGATCTCCCCGAAACTGCGGGGGTTCAGGTAGAGATCTGCGCTCGCTTTGACCAAGCAACGCTTGTTCGGTTTGGTGCGCCGATAAAACTCACAGATGGCTCCCGCATGTCTGGGACAAAACACTTCTAAACAACAGCCGTCCCCTTCTGGAAGCACGGGCTACTTAGCACCGAGCGGGTTGTCAAAAATGAGGACCTTTTGTGGGCCATTACGAGGGCCCGCCTTTAAAAGGAGTCCAAAAAGGGGTCCATATTCGTGGACAACCCACCCAGCTGCCTAGGAGATCGAACTCCTCAGCGGTGATGCTGGCGGGGTCCGACTGCAGCGAAAGGCTGGCGATTTGCAGCCAGCACCCTGGCGATCAAGTGGACATTGCACGGCGCGCGAGCGAATAAAAAGGCGCATGGTGCGCGAAACGTGTGCGCCTCTTTGCTTGCCTGTCTGCTTGCTTGCCTGCCTGTCTGCTCGCTTGCTTGCTCGCTCGCTCGCTCGATCGATCGCTCGCTCGCCTGCTGCTTGCTTGTTTGTTTGTTTGTTTGATTGATTGATTGATTGATTGATTGATTGATTGATTGATTATTTGCTTGCTTGCTTGCTTGCTTGCTTGCTTGTGAGTTTGTTTGTTTGTTTGTTTGTTTGTTTGTTTTTTTGCTTGTTTGCTTGCGTGTCCGTGTGTCTGTCTGTATGTCTGCATGTCTGTATGTCTGTCTGCCTGTCTGCCTGTCTGCCTGTCTGCCTGTCTCTGTCTGTCTCTGTCTGTCTCTGTCTGTCTCTGTCTGTCTCTGTCTGTCAATGTCTGTCTCTGTCTCCTCTGTCTGTCTCTGTCGGTCTGTCTTTGTCTCTGTTGCTCTCGTTCTTTCTTTCTTTCTTTCTTTCTTTTTGTCTTTCTTTCTTTCTTTCTTTCTTCCTTTATTTCTTTCTTTTCTTTCTTTCTTTTTTTCTGTCTTTGCATGTTTGCTGGCTTTGGTTTGCCTAGGTGTCGTTCTTCATTCTCGGGGCTGGCCCAGTTCTGTTCAAGTCAACCCCGTTCGGAACGCTCCGAAAACCGAAAGCAACAACTCGTCACAAGTTGTTTGGAAAGTGGTGCCGCATGGAACACCGAATGCCTCGATGGTTCTCCGGGAATCCCCAAGGAATGAACCTTGGGAAATTTGTGATGGCTGTGGGTCAAAACCGTTTTGGGATCCCTTTTTGGTTGGGATTGGTGAATTCACCGCCCAGTTTAGGCTTCCTATTTTCCTGGTTGGATTGAATCGGATGTTCACTGGGGGCTAACCGATTTGGATTTTGACCCATGACATAGGGGGGTCCCTCTTCCTTGTTCCCAGCTAATCGGCTGACGCGATGGAGTCACGGGTTGCTAGCATGGAGGTTGATGAATGTTCCCGACAAGGCCCCGAGCTGACCACGGGTAACTTTTCGCATTTCATGGGAACCATCATCTTTTTGGTGGTTCTTTCTCCCCACCAATCATCCCAGGCAAAAAAAAAGAAGGACTTTTTGATCAACCCCCACATCTTGGCCATGGTGCAAATGCACAGAACCCCCCCCCTGGTGATGTTGCGAATCGAGGTAGGATGTATCCCACTCCTGGCCGCCCATCCGTGGCAGTGGTTGCAGCTTGGAACAAAAAACCTCGAAAGCCCCACGCGACGCCACGGAAAGCCAAGTGGCCAATCGGATTTGCCCATGAAATCGCCCGCCAGGAGACATCTTGTCCATGTTTCAAGGAAAACACTCGTTGGACGCATCCCCTTTGGCCCAATCGTGCCTGTAACCAGCATGGCAAACCAAATGTATCCCAGACTGAGCCTAGGTATTGCTTCACGAAGCTGTGCAAGGCTTGGGTGAAGTCCAATCCTCTCCCAATGGATGGCGTGTGTGGCCTTGATTCGCCGATGCGCGAACGCGACGCGCATCGGTTTCGTCGTTTGAGGAACAAAAGGCACTCATGTCAGAGTGAGGCAAGGCAAACCGCTCATCGGGGTCCAAAAAAACAGATCACGCTCTCTTTCCCACGTAAGTGATAGGCCCTTTCAGCGCAAGTCTTCCAAGAGCTAAGGTAAGGGAATCGGCGCCAATTTCACTGAGCCTGTCTGGGCCCAACTTAAAGACTTAAAGGCCACCCTGCATCCAATGTTCTGCCCTTATCTCTTTAAGATTCAGAACCCTGACCAAAAAAAAGCGGCTGAAAAAAGGGCAAAGGACACTCATCACGTTTCTTGGACCCTCAAACTATCCCTGAATGTGCTCTTGTATAACAAGAGGTGGTTTAATGTAGGGTTTGACGGTCCAAATACTGTTGGGGTTTGGTCACAGCGCTTATTTCACCATTTGACTTTCGGCCCTCAGATGGTTGTACAAATTCGTATAAACAACCCCATGAATAAACTGGGGTTGGTTACATTAAAAAAAAACAAATGCTGCACTGTGTTTGTTTAATTTCCGTTCCGCTTTCGCGCCAGGCGGCGAGGGCTTTGCTCTGGGGGAATGCCTGGGCGACAGCACTCCAGGGGCACGCTCGTTCCAGACCTCGCTCTTGCTGACGTCTGCCTGGGGGAGCGACCAAAAAAGCAAACTAGCCAGGATCGAATGTGGTTTGATTCGCGCGGGTGTTTATTTGACGGGAATTTCGGCCTTCCGGAATTGCCCATGGATTTCTATGATGGTTCCCAAAGATCTTTGTTGGCTTTTCTTTGTGCTTGAAGCTTCTAGCAAAAAGGTTGAGGATTGAACGGGGTTACTAACTATCCCCAACTCAAGTTGGGCTTCGCCTCTTTCTCTTCGCTCTCTCTCTCTCTCTTCACTTGCCCAAAGGACCTGGCAATATCAAAACTCTCACCTTTTTGAACCTTGACAAAACATGGACCAACAGATTTAAAAAAAGGGTCGATTCGCTTTGGGCCAGTCAGTCTCGATTCCTCTCTCTGTTCCCCTCTTTTCTCCTACGAAAACCACGCCTTGGCGCGCGTGGGGCTGAAGATCTGGCAAATGAGCATCACCCCAATGAGGCGAATGTCCATCGCCTAAGGCATACGATCCGAATGAGAAAAGAGGCGCGCGTGTGTTGCGGCTGCCTTGGGTCCCGAGCGTGTCATGTTTGTTTGGGTAGCCTGTTGGGGGTTGTCTTAGATAGACACAGCCATCTGGGTGTGGGGAAGCGTGCAACAAGATTCTCCCAGGGTAGGGATACCAACACCCCTTCATAATCCACATGCTCCACAAACGATTCTGTTCCAAGACGCACCTCAAAAAACATGGTTGTGCAAAATGCCAGACAAATGCAACGCAGAACCACCTGGTCCACATGAGGCACCATCAACATATATGATGGACCTGGGACACTTTAGGTCATCTGGCCACCAGGTTGTTGCGGAAGATCGTGTAGGTTTCCCCGGTCTCGCACTCATGGACCCAAGACAAAACTGCAACCTGTAGCAACACACCTTGACTGGGTGATCCAGTAAAGAGGTTAGAATAAGTTGGTACCCGATTTTTTTCTGTAGTCTACTTTAGTAGGGGAACCCTCCCCCAAAAAAGAAACGGTAAAAGGGAACCTAGCTGGGGGACCTAGTTGAAATATCCTCAAAAAATGCCCTCAGAAGCTAAGCCTTGACACCGGAGGCTGCAGTCATGCACGGGTGCGTTTTGCAAGCTCAGCAAATGGTTTGCCAGCCATTGGCAGCTTGGGCAGCAGACCCCTAATTGCGACAGACTCTGCCGTGCGACTCCCGAAACAGGGGGCCAAGTGTCCAATCTGGAAGTCGCTTGAGTTGATGGGCCAAAAGAAGTCACCAAGATGTCACCAAGCTGCTTGTTTGCCACTGTTCCCAAAAAGTGACCCAGGAAGAGTGGAAATCTATGGAACTGGAAGATAGCAAGAACCAAAGTGACACCCTTTTCGCTTTAAGGGTGCGGCTCAGGTGGAAAATCCACCAAGTGATATAAAGCTACCGTCGCATTTGCCCATGTTAGTACCACAAGAAGATGAGATTCTCCAATAAGGCAGAAAGTCCCAAGAGGTCTCCAACTCAGGAACATGGAGGCAACTGCGCGGCAACTTCGCCATCCGAAGGAAAAAACACGTGGACACCAGGAAAAAACAAACAAACGCAAAAAATCCCTCAACCGGGCCGACACCCCAAACCCAGAAAAAAAAGTGGCTCCCTCAACCGCAGCGGGGGGGAAAAAAAACCCTCCCTCAACCGAAGCAGAAAAAACAAAACACAGATCCTCCCGAGTTGCCAATGCCGAAGCGAGCCAAGCCCGAGGAAAAACAAGAAAGAACAAAATCGAGGCCAGGCCCAAAGCGAGCGATGAGCGAGCCGCATCCCCGGGGTCGCCCAAGATGGACTGCTGCAGCACGCTGAAAACCGTCCAATAGGCCGAAGCCTCAGGCCTCGGATTTGGAGTTGCATCTCCATCGACCGAGAAAGCATGCGCTCCAAAGGCTCCAAGCGCACCACCCCCTATGCCATCCCATGGCCCAAAAACCCGTGATTCCATTGACTTGCGATCGGTGCGATAGAGAATGACCCCATTTCAGTCCTTCAGTCCTTCCACCCTCCCCATCCCACAGTGATTCCATTTGCTTGGTGCGATAGGCAGGCAATGTGGGAATGACCATCCCCTAGCGCACGTCCTTCAGCCCTTCTCCAAATCCACCCCCCCAAAATAGAGATTGCAGTTGCTTGCGATCGGTGCGATAGGTAATGTGGGAATGACCCCAGGCTTTGGTCCTAAAGGAAACCAGTTGGATGGTTTGTCGGGGCATTCCCTCATTCCCTCCTGATCACCAGCAAGCTTGCCTGTGTAGTAGGTAACCAAGGGCTTGCCACAAAAAAAAAAAAAGTTGTTGGCTAGCTACTATGGTGGTAATTGGGAGCCGCTGGGCAAAACAGGCTCGCCTTCAACCAGCAACCTGCCCCGCCTCAAACCCATTCGCAGTTGAAGCCCCCATGTCGTCGCATCGGGGAAACAACTGGGTCAATTCAAAGCGTCCTCAAAGAAATGGCGGTTTGACGGGAAACCGCCAGGACAATAAAGTATGTGTTTGAGAACCTCTGCAAACGCAATTGGCCAAAATTCGGTTGCTTTCTGCTCCCCTGCTAAAAGTTGAACTTTTAGTGGTTTGATGGAAAATCCATTAGTTGGCAAACAAATAAAGTCCTAACATCCAAGCAAAATGCACCAAAGAAAAGCAAGCCACACCTCCTGTTTCCAACCCAAGTAACTAAAGGCCCAGGAACTTAGGGAGTGAGAATGTCGGGCAGAAAAAAGTGAGCCAAGCACTGTTCAGCTAGGACAAACATATTGCAACAAGTGACCAAGCCCCAAAAGCGAGCATGGCATTGCTTGGTCTTTTTAAATATTCGCACCCAACAGACATGGCTTGTTGAAAGCCCATGTGGTATCCCAACCCTCCACAACCCTCCCTGCAAGCTGCCCCAAAACCCTGCAGCTTCCAGCTGTTGGGACAAAACATAAACATTGGGGAACCCTTTTTCGAAAACAAGCTACCGAACCAAAAGCGGACTAGGGTGGCGCTGAACTTGTCTTTTTTTCAGGGTGCCCGTGCTTTTTTGTTGGTTTTAACGGGACACCAAGAGGAAATCCGGTTGCGCCATTGAGGGGTCCATCCTGAAGGTCTCATCATCCCCAAGGAGCTCTGTCAGCGCGGGCTTGCACTTGGCCACACTCAGGTCAAGCCAGGCCTGGCTTCGGGGTTCGGAGTTCTACCTCTCAAAAAGGGCACTGGGGGGACCTGGTAAAATGGGCGTGTTTTGTTTGCCGTTTTCCTTGCATAGTTGTTGCTTTTTTTTGAAGGGGGGGGGTCCGTCCTTACAGGCAATGAAGCAGGGGACTTGACAAGCTCCAAATGCCTGTTAAATACCCCGCCTTTGCTAGCCCTGACTACAACAGGAGGCTATGCTGCGGGAGTGTACCAAGTACAAAGTGGATTATGCCCATCCACTCCAGTTTATCCTCCCTGCTTCCGGGAGAACAAAGCACAAGCCAACCAGGGCGCCGGCTAGCTGGGGTCGCAGGGAGAGAAGGGGGCACACATGAAACTTACGAAGTAACCACTCATCTCAATTGAGTCCCCAACAATACTCCTAATGCAAATATGTCTTCCAGGGATTGTGAATATAGAACAATATTAGGGCGGAACAAGATTTCACGTAGGGGCTCGGGGTCAACATGATCATGTCCCCAAAGGAAACAAAAACAAAAAGGATCGAGTTTTCATGTGCTGAGGCTGGCTTTGGCAGGCGATCCGTTTTGGAACCAGGCTCCAAATCGATGGGTTCAAATACAAATGTCCAATCCACCAAAATCCAAACCAAAGGGTTTCCTGATTCGCACCCAGAAAACAAAAAACAATTCGCCCGGGGATTTCTCCAACAGCTTTCCCGGAACTTTCTGGTGGGCCTCCATGAAATTTGACCCAAAAAGAACCCTTCTCGCTTCTGTGGGCCTATCGACCCCATAACTTCCAGCCTGTGGAAACACAACTGGGGGACACAAACAACACAACTCTTTGTTGCTGTTGACCCCTCTGCAAAAGTATAACTTTTTTTGGGTTCAGAGTTCAGTGGAAAACCCTTCATTTCCCGAAAAGTAAAAACAGAAAAACAACTGAGGTCTAACCCAATAGTAATAGCAGTCAAGAACTTGCATGGCTGCTTTAGTTTCTCCGATCCTCGCCTCCTTGGAGAGGTTGGTGGTGGTCATGTGACTCCTCAGGGCGCTCAGAAACGCCAGGACCTTCGAGGAGGACCATCCTCGGCGTTCGAAGACCGAAACCGACGCTGAGCGCAACGTGTGGCTCCATTTGCTTTTTCGCCCCCTGGAAAAATGAGAAGGTATGTCCAGATTTGCTTAAGTCCCCGGAAAACATAAAAACAAGTTCCAACTGTAAAACCAACAGGGGAAAAAGACAAATATTCTTAACCAAATGGAAGTTGTGGCTCCAACTCGGGGATAGTCCGGCCTTCGACCAAAAGTGTTCAACAGTTAAAGTCTAAAGATCCGTTGCCAAATGGTCATGTTAACTTGGCTTCGAAACAAAACAAAAAAAACAAAAAAAACGGTGGGTTACAAAAAGAGGGAGGGGGTCAAACTGAAGGACTGAGGGGTCAAACAAAAAGGAGGGGGGTCAACAGAAAGGTGGGGGGGGGGGTTCAAAAGAAAGAGTCCATTTGTCGCAGATCCGCCTAAGAAGCAGAGATAAATGGCTGGCGTGTCTTGCTTTTGAGGGTACCCTTTTCTGGGTGGCTTGGGGGGTCCAACCTCAAAAAAAAGCAAAAAACATGTCCCCAACGCCCGGCTGGCCAGTGTCCAGCACCTTCGCTTCTCGGATTTCCATGGGAAAGAAGGCACCTTTTTTGGGTTGGTTGAGCTGAAAAGTGGAACCCTTCCCAAAAACAAGTCGGAAAACAACAAAGCCCTTTTTTGGGGTTGGTCGAGTTTAAAGGGGGTCCTCCACAAAAGTTCAAGGAAAAGCCGAACCTGCAGCAGCCCAAAGCCATCCCAAAGCCGTGCCAAGCGAGCGTCTGATGGAGGTGTTGAAGACACCATGGTCGAAGACTTCACTCCGCACCCAAATCAGGCGGCTCATTGTGGAGCTACACTGGAGCCATGATGGCTCCCCACTTCCACGCAACATGATCGGGGGCCCGTTCGCTTGTCCAACATCAACGACTTGTTGTCTCTCCAATTTACCTTTGAGGGGTTGGGGGTTGCAACCTCTCGCATGGCTCCCCAAACTTTCACGGGGGACTGGGAATTCCAGGGAACACAACTTTGTCCCAATTGGGGGGGGCAGGGGGGGAATGCGTGGTTTCATGTTTGCTTGCCTTTGAACCAACTCCAAAAAGGATACCTATGATACCCGCAAAAAGGGAAAAAACACTCATACACGCATATGCTTGGAAAGAGTAGTCTTATCGCCCCAAACAACTCACTGCATTTCCAGGCTCCAAAAACAGGAATGTGAATAGTTTCCTTCTTTGCGGCTTGTACAAACTTCCCAACCGCCATGTCGGCGTTCTTTCATCACTCAACGTGTAAAGACAGGGATCCGTACTCCCTAGTCGGGCAGGCTTCCTGTTTTGCTTCCCTTTAACTTGGGTGATGTAGATCCCCCAGCAAAAGTTTAACTTTTTGCTGGTTCGAAGGGAAATGTGTAGAAAAACCCACAAAGTTTAAAAGTCTAAAGATCCAACCCAACAGCAGTGGAGTTAAACCACCAACTTGGAGCCCCCGGTGCCTCACGCATCCCCACGCTCCAAACGCGCGCAGACCCCGCTGGGCTGTGCTGGCCTTGTTTTGGTGCATGTAGTACACCGCGCGAATGATCTGCTGCATGAGGATGGCCGCCACGACCTTTACGACACGGCCGCGAAAACGCAACTCGCATGCCGAAAAAGACCCGTGTGTGTGTGTGTGTGCGTGTGTGTGTGTGCGCGTGTGCGTGCTTGTGTTTGTTTCAGGCTAGCCTTAAAGTTAGACTCATGTGGGCGGGATTACTACACACTCTTGGCGTTGTTACCCTTTGTTCAGCATTGTTACCCCATATTTGGCGTGGTTACCTCACCATCTAGACCCATGTGTGTGTGGGCGTGCTTGTGCTTGTTTGAGGGTAGCCTTAAACTTTTTCCTTGGGGTTGAAGGGAAACGACAGAAACGTGAAAAATTTGGGTCTTCATGCGTGTTCTCTCTCTCTCGCTCTCTCTCCCTCTCTCTCCCTCTCTCTCTCTGTCTCTCTCTCTCTCTCTCTCTCTCTCTCTCTCTCTCTCTCTCTCTCTCTCTCTCTCTCTCTCTCTCTCTTGTTTTCATCTTAGCACACCCTCACATGGGTCTTTCTCATAACAGGGGGTCCCAGTTACCACACAAATATGCAGCCACAGAGTTTCCCTCGAGTTGTTGAATGGCCAACTCAAAATCAACACTGGGTGTGCATTATTGTGTTTACTATCATCATCATCCTCCTCCTCATCAGCATCATCCCCATCCTGATCATGATCATGATCATGATCATGATCATGATCATCATCATCATCATCATCATCATCATCATCATCATCATCATCATCATCATCATCATCATCATACAACTAAAACATGGGTGTTATACTACCTTGGTGTTCTATTGTGTCTGTGTGTTTTGCTTTAAGTAACACTTGTTGTATGGGTCCACGGATTCGCAGCGAGCGTCAACCCCGACGAGGAGGCGCGCCTCGGTAAAGCTCCCGGCGTCAATGATGCGGTCGAAGAGCTCTCCGCCGGAGCAGATCTCCATGACCAGGTAGATGTTCCTGGCGAGCTTCCCTTTTGGTTTGGTTTGGAGTGGTTTGGAGGGGGATGTTCAACCAACCTAAGTGGATTCCAACCTTGGTTGGATGTTCCTGCGGCGAACCAACTTAGGTGCTTTGGATTGGTGCTTTGGAGGGGACTTGGGGTGTAAGAGCTTAGGTTTCATGCTAACGCTTATAACTGAGCTTGGGGTATGGCGAAGAACCATGTACTCTTCTGGAGGTCCAGCTTTCCATTTGCCCATTCAGACCACCCATCGAGATACCGAGTGTTGCTGGACTCCGCCGGTCTGGACACCGGCGTGATTTTTTTTTTGATTTCGAGTCGGTGGAATCGATCCGGTAGGATATTAAAAGAGTAAAGAGTACTGAACAAGAAGGGGTGGATGTTTCCGGACCCATGCGGATGTCCAGCTAACCGACTTAAGAGCTTAGGATACAACCTTGGTTATAACTAGCGTTTGGTGGGGGATGGCTGAAACCTGCTGCGGATGTCCAGCTAAGCGGCTTGCTGGGCTGTTCAAAATGGAGGGTTGGGCAATCCTCAATCAGACTCCCTACGCATAGGAAGTCACCACAAAGGGATGCCTGCAAGAAGGGGGAAAAGTTGCTGGACTCTTGCGGATGTCCAGCTTCCCTTTCATTGGTTTGGATTGGTGGTTTGGATAGTTTCAAACCAATTGAGATTTACCTGAGATGTCGGGATGGCAAGCCATAGCACACCGAGTGTTGGGCCCTTTTTGCCATCAACGTCACTGCAGTTTCTTTCTGACTTTGATCCACCCAGGCGTGTTGATCCAAGGCAAGCTCTTTATAGGCAATCGTTTGCTGTTTCCATATTGGGTATGACGCAAAATTGAAGAGCTGGGGTTGCGTGGGTTTTAGTCTTTGGTGCCATTTACCAAGATGCCATGTTGATACCACTTTTTTGAGCCACAGCCATATAGTGTTTCAAAAGGGGGCTGTCTTGGTTCCCTATACACGTACATGGATCCATGTACGTGGTGTGGTTTCTGGCAATAGACGTCTCTGTACATTGTCTGCATGGAGATAGCAAGGGCACAGCTCTGGCGCTAAATATTCCAGGGAGGTTGTCATGTTCCTGTAGGTAAAACCGAGAGGTAAAATGCCGAATGCATATCGCGGGATACCTAGCATAGCGGTAAGTTCGGCGAAACAGACAAATCCCTTCACAGTGTAAACACCATCCGTGGTAAAAACAAAAAACTGGAACACAAAAAATACCTGCTTATCTACTTATGGTAAAACGTTGGTGTGAAACCAGGTTCGCCCAGGTGGTATCCCCAACCTCTCTCCAGAGCCCATCTAAGCTTCCGCTGCATATTACTCTTCAAGGGGCGATCACTTCTCAGGCTTTCTGAAGGAAGGTGCAAAACCCGAGCGCACCGCAGGGTCGTCTCCGGACCGAACGTGCGGGACCGAAGGTTTTCTGGATCGTAGATAGACGTTGACCCAAAAGCCCTGAGGGTTCAATCACAGGAAAGGACAAACTAAGCAACTCCTCACTTGCTGAGTGGATGGCCCAATCAAAGTTCAAACTTCATATTTACCACTAAAATGGTCTTCCCAAAAAATTTAAAGTTCATGAACAAAGGAAGTGAGCCACTGACTTTCCCATCGAAGGCGCTTGGGGGAAGTATCCCACGGAAGCTGGGTTGAAGTGCTTCATGAGCCGGGCTGCCTAAGTGAGTTGCTGGGGCCCCGAAGAAGAAAAACACCTGTTGACCTTCATTTGCTGAAGTCCCCCGAAAATAATAAAAATATTTCCAGAGTTATATTCCACTTAAAACCAACAAAAAATCACACATACTTTTATAAGCAAATGGAAGTTGAAAGGCACTCCAACGTGACCGAACCGACACATTTCAGCAACCTTGCCCGGCCGCAGCAAAAACCGGCAGCGAACTGAAACTGAGACCAGGTATCCTCAGCCCCGAACCCCCTTGTTATCCCAACCACCCGGAATCTAAGCATCAAACACCCCCAAAAAAACAACAACAAAAAAGCGGTCCAGGGATCCTTACATTCTACACCTGAACATTGCAACTTGCAAATTTGTGCTAAACCCCCTTATTTCGGTCTTTAAAAAGCCAACATGCTCATGGTTTCGCAACATGACTTCCATTTCAGGAGCCCGGAGCCCCGTCGGCAGCGGAAACACATCGGCCGGCCGCCGGATTGCTTCGCTGGCCCGGCCTGAGATCCTCGAAGCTCTCGTAGAGTTTGATGATGTTAGGATGGTCCTCGCGGCGTTTGGGGAAACTCGCTCCTTGTAAACTTCCGATTTGCGAGTGAACTTCACTCCTGGTAAAATTCACTCCTTGGTAAAGTTCACCTCCGGGTTGGGTGGTCAAACGCCAAGCAGGACCAACAGCTGCGGTCGGATTTTTTCCCCCGACAGACAGGAAGACAGACAGAGACAGCCAGACACACAGAAGGACAGTTTTGGCGGAAACAGGCCTTCCGGGTCTAAACTCTGGAGCCAAGTTTGGGCACCGAAAATCGCGTGCGAGAATTCCAGAGTTGTGGCTTGAGAGGATCACTGACTTCGCGTCGTGGCCGCGCCAGCGGAATTCGGACCCCGGCTGGCTCTTTTCAAGGGATCACTCGTAGTTGAAGCAATATAAACATGTCACTTTCAAACCATCAGGCTAGAGATAACCAGTATATTTGCACAACATGATGTTCCTGTCGTTGCAAGTAACAGTGTTGTCAGTAGTTGCAGCAACAAAGTCTTCACTTTAGTTCTGTCTTCCTTAAATGTGTTGTTTTCTCCTCTAGGGTGCGGCGCAATTGAAATTCTAATCATGGTGGGATGTGTTTCCCTCTAAAACCACCAAAAACGGGCGCTCAACAACACACCCAGATCACTGTCGAAACGTGGACATCCGGAATCAAACGCCAAAACAAAAAAAAAACGGTCCGGTTCCTTTAGGCGGTCAACAACTTTTGCCTCTCATTTAAGGGAACTCGCAATTGAAAGACAATTGCCAATGGGGGTCTTATCACTTTATGTTTGTTTGAGACAATCCCACCTGAAAACAAATCGTGATTCATTCTGAAAGGAGAGTCGGTGAACTTCTGAATGGGCGAGCGCGAGGTTGTTCAATTACAAGTCATCGGGGGTAGGTGTCAATACTGTGGATGGTCGAATCCTGCACCACTTTAAACGAATCTGTCTCCCCAAGACCCATAAAAGCAGGCCCCATAAAAATTCGGGTACATGACCTACTGTGGCTGGTTGCACAATCCATTTCGCGCCACCTACGAAACCGCGGTTGAAGCCATATAGCGTTTGTTGGCATTCCCGTTGGGGAATCATCAGAGTCCGGGGTTCTTAGCTGGTGCAGAATTTCATCTATCTATGGGGCCAATGGCAAACACCGGGCTTCGCCCGGCTTAGCCCACCGCTAATCTTGGATTCCAGTCTTGGAACTGCACTCGCATCCGAAGATATATGGCTGCGGCTCAAGAAAGTGGTACCAAAATGGCGCCTTGGTAAATGGAAACAAAGACTAAAAGCCGGCTCTTGAATTTTGAGTCATACCATACCCATATTTACTGGGACCTATCGAAAGTGGTCCTAAGCTTCTCGGCCAAGCATTCGCATGAGTCGGGGCAATACTTCACGTCTCAAGGTTGAATGCCTCTGACAAAGGCCGCAGCGCTCACCGAAGCAATGAACGTGCGCAGGTCGGCATATGCTTTAGCTTGCCCTCTTGGTTTCTTCCATGTGTGGTTTTGGAACGTGCTGAAAATGACCAGCCAAGAACATGCCCCTCGAAAACTGGAGGACTATACGGACTATACGGACTATACGTATGACGTATGAGTCACAAGCTACTTGATGGGCTCGTGTTGGCTTCCTGTTGGCTTCCTGTTGGCAACCGACCGGCCAAAGGGGACCCAAATGAGTCTTGAGCCACAAACAATCGTGATCGTGTTCCCGTGTGAAACTTGTCAACAAACGTGGGAACATGTCGCTTTCCCGTGTAATTTGCGGGAATTCGGTGAGTCTGCATGACCCAAACCCCGAATTGCCCTGAATCACACGGGACAATTACGCCCCTGCAGAGTAGCATGACACCCGAACCCCCATCATGTTTGGAGAAACCTGCTTTTTGGGAGTCTCTTTTTTGGAGATACCTTTACCCCTCCAATCTCGGTTGCTTCCTGCTCCCCTGCTAAAAGTGAAAATAAATTTTCGTGGTTTGATTCGGAAAACCCATTGGATCAAACAGTTGTCCTAACAAAATGCTCCGAAGCGATGGTAGTGGTGGGTCCAGTTCTTGCGGAGCTTGATCAACGGGCAAGGCGAGACATTCTGATCTCAGCGAAGGCTCAAAATCAAAATCGGTTAGCCCCCATTGAGTTCATCCCAACCACTAAAATAGCAAGCCTAAAATGGGTGGTGAATGCACCGCAACCCCCAAAATGAGGCCTAAAATGGGTGGTGAATGCACCAATCCCAACCAAAATGGGATCACACCCAAAACAGTTTTCACCACCACAGCCATACGAGCGAGGGTCCATCATCTTCATAATGGCGATCTCTTGCTTGAAGCGCTCCAGGTTCTTCATCTTTCCCTGGCCAAAAGTGGGAAAGAATCTCTCAGGAGGGGACCGGGGACCTCGGTGGCGAAATCTGCGAAGCCCTGCTAAAATTAACTCGGAAAACCCAATAGCTGGATCAACAAGTCCTAGTCCTAACATCCAAGCTAAATGCAACAAAGTCAAAAATGGTTGGCTTACCTTTTCGTTTCCTTGCAAACCCACCCGGAGGGGTCCCCCCCTCCCTTCCACAACCAAAAAAAAACAGAAAAGCATCCGGAACTTCCGGATGTTGAGCCAAATTGGTAGCCAGGTCTTACTTTAAAAAAAGAATCGGACATATTTACAAGTTTAGCAGGTACCAAGGTCTTATGAAAAATGACAGGTTTTGAAAAAAAAATGCTCATATGGCGACACCAAGATGTTCATAGGGACACATGAACAAAAATCACTCGAAGCCAGTGCAAGATGGTCATGTCGGTACGAGTCAAACTAGAAAAAGGTACAACACACACACACCTTTGGTTGACAGAGTCGCAACGGGCATTTAATTTAGGACACCTGAACCAACCGGTCGCACCTTAGGTCAGTCCAACAACACAAACTCTTGGCTGTGTCCGGGAGCTTTCTTGGAGGAATACTTGAGGGACAAAACAGATCGGCGGGTAAAAATCATAGCGTTGACCAAGCGCTACTGTGGATGGTTGCGCAATCCATTTCGCACCACCTCTCAGAAACCATGGTTGAAACCCATATTTGTTGGTATTTACGTTGGGGAATTATCCGAACCCAAGGTTTCTGAAAGGTGCGAAATGGATTTCGCAACCATCCACAGTACCATTTCCCCTAACATGGAAGCGCCTAAGCTCTCTGAGAGGCCCTGGTAGCATGTTCGTATGAGGTTCATCATTGTAAACATCCCTCAACATGGGGAAGTCCTTCCTTCCCTTTCCCACTGTGGCATTGGAAACCACCGGCCAATATCGCAACTTTTGAAGGGGACATCCAGTGACCCCTGATTTGCCTTTCAGCAGCCCGGGAAAGCGGTCTCGATTTTCTCCAAATGGGATTCTCCACCCCCTGCGATATGGGCGGCTTTTTCCCCTGCGTTCCATCCAACACAACCAGAGGCAAACGCACACACACACACACAAAAACTGGGAGACTCTCTCTTAGGTCCTCCAGTAGAGAGGTGAGAACAAGGGTACCAACTTTTTTCCGTAGTCCATTTTACCACGCGAACCCTCCCCCAAAACGGGGAAAAAGGGCGCCGTTTCCTCCCCCACTCACCTCAACACACCCAGATCCAGTTGCCATAGGCGGCGTTAGTCAAAAAAAAGCGAGTCCCCGAACCCGTGAGCTCGGAAAATCAATTGGCCACAGGGATATATGAATCCGTATCATGTACAGAGGGGTCCTTTTGAAAAAATCGATGGATTTCCCTGAAGTAAATGGGGCATAAGACCAAGCTAAACCAGCGGAACCCATCCATTTCTACCCAAAGTAAGCCAAATTTCCGCATGAACATAGGATAATCATGTGTAATTAGTTACTAAACCCTACACCCTAAACCCTAAAACTCTCAAACCCTAAGCCCCAAAACTCTAAAACTCCCAAACCCATGTCTTTTGGATGGATCCTGTAGATTGGCATGAAGCCTGAACAAAAAAAAAAAAAACACCTTGCGGAACCCGCGTCTCCTTTTTGGGGCCTTGTTATCTGGAATAATTCACCTTGGCCCATGATATTCTTCTGTTTCATACATGGTCTACTTGGTTGCTGCTGATCCCTCTGCAAAAAGTGCAACTGTTTGTGGGTTCAATTCGGAAAACAATGGTGATTTCATCTCAAAGTGAAAGTCTGAAGATCCAACCCAAGGAAACTGGTGCAAGACCTCAGTGGCAAAACCCCGAGCCGCTCTCCGAATCCGCTCTCCGAATCCAGCCTTGGCGATCGTCTTCACCGCTCGAACGGAGCCGGTGGCCTTGTTGGTGCCCTTACAAACGTAGCCATAGGACCTCAGCATGCAGTTGGTAGGGGGCTAGGTGCTCCAGTAGAGAGGTTAGAATAAGGGTACCCTATTTTTTTCAGTAGTGTATTTTAGTAGGGAAAGCCTCCCAACCAAAACTCTGCAACACTCCTGCAGGCGCTCAGCAAAGCGAGGCTAGGTGCTGCCTGGAGCATTTTGTCAGCAAAAAAGCGCCTAAGGGGGTGATCAGGTACTTAGTAGGGTGGTTAGTAAGCTTGGCTATGACCCGCTTGGGGGACTTATAACCACGGCTTTTGCGGGCTATCTCACCAGGCCTACCACATACCTGAGGTACCGAATCGATCGCCCCTTTTCCCTTTAAGTAGCGCGGCCTTGGTGTCCCATACCTCGAAAACGACAAGTGACTAACTGACTGCCGACGCAGCTCGGTGGCAGCAAGGTTGGCCCAAGGCAGCCTAACTCGCTGCCGTAGAAGCTCACAAACGGTTGACATGTACCTTGTGGAGCTTCTGTGTTGCCGTTATTATTTTTTTACAACCAGGAAAATCACTTGCCATGTTTTTGTTGCATCATTCTTTTTTCACCAGGGGGATCACCTCCACGATCTTGAGACGCTTTGTTTTGTCCAGCCTATCATTGGACCCGCAGGACAGGGATCCAGCGAAGGGTTTGGACCTAGAAAGGGCTCTTCTTGAAGTCCCGAAATTCGGGGGCCAAAACGTGAAAATCATGGAAGCGATCCTGGCAAAAGTATACAGCTCCCTCTGAATCTGACTGAACATAGTTCAAGTGACTGCCCTAAGAGTCTTGTAATTTCAGGTGGCCCCCAACCCTCCAATCTAAGTGGGCGAAAACCCTTGCCGTGAACGCAAGCTCCAGCCTGTGTTTGCGGGCAGAACTCACCGACCTTTTTTGTCCCCCGTGAGTGTGGGTTTAACCAACTTTGGGGGGGGGGGGGGGGTGATATCGCAACAGGCGAACGACTTACTAACTTGGCCGAACATTCAAGTAGTACTCCCCAGAAAATGAAAAGTTGGCTGCCCAAACAGGAAATGGAAGGGCGCGTCAAAGCCGGGTGGACAAAACTGTGAGCACATAATACACGACCCTTCTGGTTTCCTGTGAGTAAATTGAGAAATTGTGGGGTACACACCTTGGAATCCAGGTGGTTCAACATGTTCCCAAGGAAACAGGTGGGTTATACCAGTAGGGAACAAGATAGAAATCGAAGGACGTGGGTGGCACGAAAACCTGGCATTTAACATGTTTTCCCAAAGCCACGTAAACAACAAAAGGCAATCCACAAAGTCAATGTTGAGAAGTCTGAATTCCATCACTTTAAGGGCCACGGCAAAATTGTCAACCAACTCCACAGCAATGTTGGACTTTTACCTCCCAGACTGGTCTCAAACTGTTCTTAAGCTTGGCCTGTTGTCAAATTGGCCCAGCAAAAACGGGAGAAAAAAACAACATATGCCTGTGGGTCAAAAATAGGTACCCCAAATGGAACCCTGGTAAGTGGAAACATGGACCAAAACCTGCGGTCCCCTGGTGGTTCAATTTTGACCCGCCATATTAAAACCACCCTTGCTGCACTGTTGACTGCCACGCTTCACGTTCATCGGCCAGATCAAGTGCCGTTGCGCGGTTTTCCGGCAGAATATGAAAACCTCCGGCGCACTAAACCCGGCCAAACGTTTCTTTGACTCAGTAAACATTGCAAACACAGATTGTTTTGTTAAAAGCAAAATACATAAAGGAATCAAGAAATAAATAAATAAACAAATAACCAAATAAATAAATACATACATGCATAAATATATAAACAAATAAATACATAAATAAATAAGCACATTGTCTCAGGGGTGGTATTTCGTCAGTGAATGGTGAAGTTCTTTGACCCTGCAGTCCTAAAAGACTGACTCGGCCCGGCTGTTCTTTGGCCCAGTAAAATTGACAAAACAATGATGAAAACACCACCCTCCATTGGCAAATGTGAACCTGGTGTTGTACGGGATATACTCGTACTTCATATTACTTCATCCTGTGCGGATATGGCTTTCAACTGCCTTGAACCAATACGTCCCTTAAGAATAAAGTCCTAAAAAGAATGACTCGGCCTTGGCTTCTCTTTGGCCCAGTAACATTGGCCAATGATTAACACACCACCCTGAAGTCCTTAAAATAATGAGTAAAATTGCCAAAACCAATGAGTAACACTCCACCCCGAAGTCCTAGAAAGAATCGGCCCGGCTTTGCTTTGGCCCAGTAAAATTGCCAAAACAATGATGAAAACGCCCACCCTGAAGTCCCCAAAAGAATGAAACGGAACAAAACTTCTTCCTTCCATGCGGCCCTTCACCCAGCTTCTTCTTGTCCACATCATAGAAGTCCAGGAGCTTTCCTCGCAGGCGGGTTCAGGTGCCGGCGGGTTTCCTACGCCCCAAAAAAAGGGCAACCCTGGCCTCCGCCGCATCGAAAAATGTCGAACTGGGACATATATATATATATATATATACATATTATCATATTGGCTTTGTCAACAAACTAGGGGAACCCCCAAAATCCCAAAATGGCTGGATTCCTGGTGGTGTCCCTTTCAAATCAACCAACAGGAGACCCCTCAAACAAAACCAACACGCCTATGTAAAACACTGTCGGCACCTGGCAACGGCACTGCCCTAGAGGAAATCGAATGGTAGCAACCCCCATGTGTTGGAATAGTTTAAACCTCTAGGCACCCTGAAAAAAGACGCATCTATACAAATATGCGGGCAGCTCAAAACAAAAGGGTCCCAAATCGAGTTGGGACGACTAATGAGAACGTAAGAAGCCTGCCATCTAACAGATCGGCTTGTCTCAACATAGGGGAACCCCACATAAACATGTGGTTGTGTTCTTTTTTCAATGCTCTCCAACTTGGAAACGAGCTTGTGACTTTGGGGCAGTTTCCAATCGAACACGGATCAGCTCTACTTCGCCACGCTGTAAAACCGCAACAAAGATGTGCGAGGGATTGATGACCATAGGTTAGGTCCAGGTAAACCCAAGAACATCTGGGCTCCCCATACTTCCCTTCTTGGTAACATCACCTTGTCGGCCCAAGGTTAAATCGCTTCCCTGCATGGGGTGATCTTTTGCGGGGATGTCTTCCTCATTTTTTTCGCGAGCCCCGAGGAGTCGGTGTCACCCCGTTCCCCGAAACCTCTGGAAAGCCACGGCAGGGTTTCTGCGGCAAGCGGCAAGACTCAACGACACGCCGATGCCAGGGCCAAAGATGCCCAGTCGAATTCCATTGCGGGGAAAAAAATGGCCTCCTAGTCTGAGTTGGTGGGTTTTAAAGACAACCCTCCCCCAAAAAAACAACACACCCTCCAGGAAAAAATAAATAAAATAAAAACACGAAAAAAGGGTCACCGGCACTGGGCAACTGGGATGACTTAAAGCCGTAGCAACACACATTTTTACGCGCAAAGAGCGGGGTTCTATCATTTGCGGTGACATGCGAATGATGTGCCGCATCGTCACAGTCTTCATGCTACAATGGATCACCATATCGTCTCCCCGTAGCGTCCTGAAGCAGTTTGGCTTCTCCAAAACCACTTGCTTTGAGACTAAGGCAACCCGACGTGTGGTCCCGGGGAATGTTTCCGGGTTCCGCATACCAAGGATGACCCACTTAGTTGGTTTTCTTGTTTTTCCCCATGCGGGAGTGAATCGAGTCGGAGCGAGTCGAGTTCCGAAAGCCGAGCGGCCGGGGTTGTCGATGATGAACTGCGCCCGGCCCCCCATGGTCGTTTCTCGGGCCTGGGCGCTAAGAACTTCGATCGAATACCTGGAGCCCAGATCCATCCATCGCTGACCCTTCCGAGCATGCGAATGACGGGAACTCGGGCGCCTTCGCTTGGCCAAAGTGTTTCAAGAAACATCTTATGAGAAGGGCCTGTGTCCACTTCCGTGATTGGAAAGAGGCTAGGTGTCCCTAAATTACCCACAGTGCTAAATCCAGTGGAAGTATCTATGTGTCCCACTCTCAGCAAAGTGTTGAAAACAGCACCAGCCTGGCAGAAAAAGAGAGGACCCTCGTTTTTTTGGCTGATATGACAAATGCAATGGCTTCCGAACCTAAATCAAAGGGAACAAGCTGGGTCCCTTGGTAACCCAAATGGGGTGGAGTCCCCGTTTGGGGGAAAACCAAAAGTTCAACTTGCTGTGGGCTCAATGGAAAATCCGAGTTCAGCTTTTCGAACTTTCAATGGAAAATCCGACCATATCCGACCTGTTTCAACCCAAAAGTGCAAAGGTGACAAGTCGCCGAAAAGTGAAGAAGCCCCGCCCTGACTCCAAGCTGAAGCCACGGGCCTAATGGCCTTGTAAAAATCCGGTGGGTCCGTGTGCTAACATGGCCTAGAGACTGGCTTCCCCCAAAAAAACTGGAAACACACCTCTGATATGAGTCACAATCAAAACCTGGGATTGAAATGGTCTTCCCAAACCAATGTAAAGAACTACAAAGGCGGCCGCACCATATTCTGCTTGGGACTGTCCCTTACTAGCCTTCACCTACCCGGGTTTTGATTTTGGCTCATCTGCTTTGGCTCAAAGCGAAACCCACAAAATGGGTTGGCTCAAGATGGGGGAATCCGCAACATGGGTTCCTGCTTGGATTTGTTCCAAATAGTTCAGGGTGCCGACCAAAAGTCCGCCACAGCCTTTCTGTATCTGAGGCAGCTGCATTCTGCGTCGACTGTGCCTGGCGCACCCGCCGAGCTATCCCGAAAATTGTCCCACTGACCTGCCAGATCACACGCACACACACGTATGCAAACTTTACAAGCCTGTAAGCGAATTGGTTGTGCACAACAAATGGATGCAATCTGCATTGATAGGCGCTCGTACAAATGAGTAAATACATATGTTTTTTTTTTCCAAACCCTTCCTACCACTCACCTGGCGCCTGGAAAACTGTACCTGGAAGATCGATCCGCTTCCCTCGAGCGGGAGCTGTGAAGTGCCACGTTCCCCCCAGATCCTTTTCTAGGTCCTCCAGTAGAGAGGTTGGAATAAGGGTGCCCTTTTTTGCTGTAGTCTATTTTAGTAGGGGAACCCTCCCCCAAAAAAGATACGGTAAAACTGGGGGACCTAGTTTTGGCAGGCAAGCACATGCCCAAAGAGCACTACAAGCAGAAAAAAAACTTCTGAAAGTTTCCAGGCGCGAAGAACAAGCAAACAAACCCAAGATCGTGAAGGTCTGGATGGCTCCGAAATATTCGCCCGTGTTCTGAGGTGTGATTCCAACCATTTCAGCCATGGCTCGCTCTGGACACCACCTATGTTCAAGGTGCTTGGTCTCTCTTGTTTAAAGAGAAGGATTCATGAAGATAATGGGAAGGGTACAGCTTGACAATACCAAAGAAGAATTGTGTGGCCCTACATAACTTCCAGATGTCAAGCTTCAGCACGTGCATGTTGCTTCTGGCTGTGCATGTGGTCCTTGTGCACCACAAGCAGATGCCACATAGTGGAACTTCTGGGCTTTTTGGGCACAACGCCAACATGTGAATTTGAGCCTTTCACGAAAGAACCAATTCCCGGTTTGTTCGGGTGAACACGGCACCCAGATTCCATAGCCCCCAAAATCGGGAATCCTGAAAAAGGAAAAAGGAGTGATCCAATTCATGTGCCCCACCTACCTCTGCACCTCCATTTGCTTGTTCGTCCAGAGAAAATGAAGGAACACATTTCCAGCAATAAACCAAGGGAGACATGACAAGCAGTAATAACTTATTTCAGCAATAGGTCCAGTGATAAATCAGGGGAGACATGACACAAAACTACTCATTTCATCATATGGAAGTCTCAAACCAAAAGCCCCACAGGGGGAAAAGGATCTCAGATTCTTGGCTCGGGGCTTAGCACCTTGCCACTAGGACATAAGTGGATCCTTAGCCTCTGTGCCCACTTCCGTGGATGGCCCCCCAAAAAAATACCACCCAACTTTCTGCAGGCAAACAAAAAACATGGTCCTCCCAAAAAAGGTGCGTAACTAGGCCCTCCAGTGGAGAGGTTAGAACAAGCGTACCCGATTTTTTTTCTGTAGTCTATTTTCGTAGGGGAACCCTCCACCAAGTGAGGCCCTTTTCCCCGTTCAAGGCCTCAGGCTTGCTGCTAGTGCAGCCCATAGCCCTGCACGAGAGCCGTGCGTCGAGAAATATCGAGAAGGAACTGCCCAAGGGCAGAGTTCCGGGGAAGAACTCGGGATTCCCATGTGGCTGTGGGTCAAACATAAAACCAATGACTACCCTTCCTCCAACAAACATAGCACCTGTGGGAGGGTATCTGGAAGACTAATTTCCTTCTCAAGGGACCCTCTGCCAGGTGCCATGTTAGTGCAAGGGAGTGAAAACCTGGTAGTTATTGGCTGTGGGAGTCCCATCATTGGTTCACATTTTCCCATGTGGCTGTGCCCAAAATGGGCTTCCCGATCGGTAAATGGCTTGCCAATGACTAGAACCTGCCGTCCCCTAGAGGTTTCATTTTCACCCATACTACGACTTCCTTCATCCACAAGGCCACTCCCACAGACACATAGGACGGAAGGCAAACTCTACTTCAATGAGCGAGTTTGATTTTTTGCTCGGGGGGGTCTAACAAAAACTGGGAGAAAACCATCGCTAAAAAGACACTGCAAAGGATTTGCACGTCCGATCCGGTGTGTTCAACCGGCTACGGGACAAAGAAACCGTGGAACGAACAGAACACACAACTCCGCAAACTAGCAAACGACCAGCACGAAACCTTCATAGGTGAGTTCGCATTGGATGGGTGCTTCTCTTGCTCCGCAAGGGAAGATGTTCTTTAAAGGGGAGTCAATAGGACTAGATTTGCATTGGGAGGGTTCCAGAGTTCCCCAAGACTCAATTTATGTGATGCATCTGAGAAAGGAATGCCCAATTGGAGTTAGGCACTTGTTTCGTCAGTCATAATCCTTTGCTCCCTCTGACTGGTTTAAATCAACTTTGGTTTTGACAGATCCTCCTTTCCTGGTTATACTCCACGAGTTCAAGCTGCCACGGGTTCCCTGTAAAGCCAAAAAGACCGCAGTCCCTTTCCAGAAACTGAGCAAAGTGGATCGACGCCCTTGTCAGCCAAGGATCAAGATATGATGGCTTTCACTCCTTGACCGGAAGCTCCCAGAAGGCAGCTGAAGATGGGTCGCCAAGTCTTCCAAAGGGGTTGGGGAAGGTATCCGCAAATAATGCCCTTTTCCGGGAAACACTCGCGACCAGGATCAACGCAAATGGGTTCTGTCGGCCTATCCAAGGAAGCTGGCCGTTCAAGTCATACCCTCCCACCAACTAACATGGGTTTGTGCAGCAAGGCAAACTCACCAAGAGGAAAGTCGTCTTTCTACAGGGGTCTGTGCACCAACCCATGGAATCGCTGGTGGGAGGGTAGCCAATCTGGGTCACCCCGGATCTGAGCAGAAGCCCTGGATGACTTTGCGAGGGGACACTCTGCGACTTCGGATCCACACCCGAAGTGACGCTCCTCTCAAAAGTGGAGAGCTTTCCAAAGCTCACTTCCCATCGAGGTGGGCAAAAACCAGGTCAAATTCAGTTGTGAAAACTACTAAAATGATGTCCAACCCGGAAAAGTGAGTACAGTCCACAGAGAAAACTCTGGGGGCCAACCAAAATACCTTTTCAGCTGGTGTTTCAAACCAGACACGGCCAGACTTGGGACCCGCGCAATTGGCCTGTACCGAAAGGATAATAACTCCAAATCGGAAGACATGTACATCGCCCTTGAAAAGGTCCAGCGCCCTTTTGAAAATATTG